GAAACACAGATATCATTTGGTGTGCAAGGAGAGAGAGAGATTTTTTTATTAATTTTTATAAACTCCTTGAGCAGGGTGGAGTCGGTCGAGGTGTGAGAAAAGAAAAAGAATTATATGATACTTTTCGTACTTTACATCTATGACAGCACATGGACAGGAGGTCTGTTATTTGTGGAGTGGGGGTCCTGTTATTTGCGGAGTGGGGGTCCTGTTATTTGCGGAGTGGGGGTCCTGTTATTTGCGGAGTGGGGGTCCTGTTGTTTGCAGAGGGGGGGTCGTATAGGGGGTGTGGAGACGTGGGACGCTATGTCAATCGAGGAGAGGGTACAGTTGGCTGACGGCGTTGAGCTCGGTATTCGCTGCAGTCGCTGTTCGTTGTCGGTTGGAACTGACATTTAACTTGATTTAAGTCGTTTTTTTTTTAAATATTTTTTTTAACCATAAATATCTGTATGTGGCTGGGGTCTGGAATTTACTTGGATTGAAGGGGGGACTGACTGCAAGCTAGGGGGCTAGTGAAGAGGAGACGTTGGCCTGCGCTTTGTGAAGGCAGTCCACCATGGCAGACGGAGGTGGATGGAGACGGAGGAGTAGTTCCTTAGCTTGCGAGGTGATGGAAGTCGAGCATGGTGCGGAGTTTGTTTCTAGAACTAATAACTGGAAGATAGTGATGCTTAATTCTTTTTGTGAAAGTTTGGTTTCTTTTCATGTTCGGGTTCTTTTTGTTTTCGGTTTTCGGTTTTCGATTTTCCTTCGCTGCTTCCCCCCCCACCCCCTCTTCTCTCTGTCTTAGGCCTCTCTGATTGATTGGTCGTCGTATGTTTGTTGGATGAACCTGGATCCCTATTTTTAGCCAGGGGTCTTAATCTCAGTCGGCTCCCTGGAGAAGTCATTCACCTCAGCTGAGTGATTATTAGGGGGGGGACCAATTTGTGGGGACGTTAGGGATCGTTTTTTATTTTCTGAACGGCTGCGCATATGTTCTCTCTCTGGCATATGATGCATATTTCTGTCTGTGATGATTTCTGTCTCTGTCTGTGGTGTATGCTTCCGTCATCTTGCTCTGAAGATCTCAGTTTGTAATCTCGTTTCCGTACAAGACTCAATGCAGATCTAGACTCTAGAGAGCTATTACAATGTGTGGACTGCTCACGTGACAGCTGTTTGTGCACACAAACACAGACAGACACAGAGAGAGAGAGAGAGAGAGAGAGAGAG